ATGAGTTTCCTGGGAAGGCTTATCTACATCAGCAAATTCAAGCACAATCTACAGTTATCTATGAGCCAATCTTTAAGATGCTAAAGAAGGACACCGCCACCAAATGGACTGATGATTGCCAAAAGGCCTTCGACAAAATCAAGGAGTACCTGTCAACACCACCAATCTTAGTCCCGCCCGAGCCAGGTAGACCCTTATTACTCTACCTTGCAGTGTTTGATGGAGCTTTTGACTGCGTTGTAGGGCAGCACGATGAAATAGGGAGGAAGGAACAAGCCATTTATTATCTCAGTAAGAAGTTCACCCCGTACGAGGCTCGGTATTGTCTATTGGAACACACTTGTTGTGCTTTGACTTGGGTAGCTCAGAAGCTGAGACATTACTTCTGCGCCTATACTACATATCTCATATCATGAATGGATCCCTTAAAGTACATCATTTAGAAGCTCATGCACACCGGCAAGTTAGCTAAGTGGTAAATCCTGTTGAGTGAGTTCGGCATTGTTTACGTAACTCAGAAAGCGGTCAAGGGGAAGGCACTGGCAGCCACCTTGCCGAAAACCCCATGGATGGAGGATACGAACCGCTGAAAATGTATTTTCTTGATGAAGAGGTATCATTCATAGGAGAAGACATCGCGTAATCCTATGACGGTTGGAGAATATTCTTCGATAGAGCAGCAAACTTCAAAGGAGTTGACATAGGAGCAGTCCTAATATTAGAAACCGGTCAGCATTATCCGGTGTCTGCCAAACTCTAGTTCCCCTACACCAATAATATGGCCAAGTATGAAGCCTGCATCTTAGGACTCAAAATGGCCATTGACATGAACATTCAAAAGTTGCTAGTGATTGGAGATTCAGACTTGCTTATACATCAGGTACGAGGAGAATGGACGACCAAGAACTCCAAGATACTCCCATATCTGCATCATGTACAGGAATTGAGAAAGAGGTTCACGAAGATGAAATTCCAGTATGTTCCTAGAATCCAAAATGAGTTTGCCGATGCATTAGCAACCCTATCATCTATGATACAGCATCCCGACAAGAATTTCATTGATCCCATTCCAGTGAAAATCCATAATCAACCAGCTTACTGTGCCTGTGTCGAAGAGGAAGCGGACGGGAAGCCTTGGTTTTATGATATCAAGGAATATTTGGCAAAAGGAGAGTACCTGGAGCTTGCGAATCCTACTCAGAAATGCACACTTCGGAGATTGTCCAACAACTTTTTTCACAGCGGAGGAATCCTGTATAGGAGGACTCCCGATTTAGGATTATTAAGATGTGTTGACACAAAGGAAGCATCCAGGCTACTAGAGGAAATTCATGCTGGGACATGCAGTCCGCATATAAACAATTTTGTCTTAGCAAAGAAGATACTCCAAGTTGGTTACTTTTGGATTACTATGGAAACGGACTACATCCAGGATGTACAAAAATGCCACCGTTGTCAGATACATGTACACATGATAAAGGTACCTCCAAGCGAGCATCACACAACAAGGTCATTGTGGCCGTTCGCCGCCTACAGAATGGATGTTATTGGACCAATCGAGCCTGCTGCTTCCAACGGACACAGGTTTATTCTAGTAGCCATCGACTATTTCACCAATTGGGTCGAAGCAGCATCTTATAAAGTAGTGACTAAGAAAGTCGTGGAAGAATTTGTCCGACCGCATTGTTTGTCAATTCGGGATTCCAGAGTCAATCATTACTGATAATGGCTCCAACCTCAACAACGACTTGATGAAAGCTATGTGCAAAACTTTCAAGATCAAACACAAGAATTCCACAGCCTATAGACCTCAGATGAATGGAGCTGTAGAAGCCACAAACAAGAATATCAAGAAGATATTGAGGAAAATGATAAAGAATCAGAGACAGTGGCACGAGAAGTGATCATTTGCTCTTCTGGGGTATTGTACCACAGTCTGCATATCAACCGAGGCAACCCCCTATATGCTGGTTTATGGTACAGAGGCTATCATTCCTGCTGAGGTAGAAATTCTTTCCCTAAGGATCATACAAGAAGCTGAGCTCGACGATGCAGAGTGGGTAAAAAGTCGTTATGAGCAACTAGCCCTTATAGACGGAAAGAGAATGAATGCAGCTTGCCATTGTCAACTCTATTAGAACAGAATATCCAGAGCCTTCAACAAAAGAGTCGAGCCAAGACAGTTCACACCGGTACAGCTGGTGTTAAAGAAAATTTTTCCGTATCCAGATAAAGCCAAAGGTAAGTCCTCTCCCAACTGGCAGGGTCCATACATGGTTCACCGGGTTTTGACAGGAGGAGCCCTCATACTTGCAGAAATGGACGGAGAAGTCTGGATGCCAAAGCCGATTAATTTAAATGGAGTCAAGCATTACTATGTGTAATCTTTATGCTTTTCTTATATGATGTAAATTGAGCTACACCTGACCTGATTCCCATTTAAGAGAGAATACATAGACAACCCTATGGGTTCAGTCATAATTCAATAAAAATTTCATTTTCCCCCACAATTGGAAGTTGGGGCAGAATTTTGAGGAGGACCATCAAAATTCTGAAGTAATTTCAGCCGATCGCCGCACGAGCAATAGTCAAAAATGTCAACCCATCAAACTGGGGCAGAATTTTGAGGAGGACCCTCAAAATTCCGTAGCAGGAGAGTTTGCAATGTCTTGAACTACGTCATAGTCGTCGGTTTATCTGAAAGTTATTTTTAATTATACATTTATGTCATACTTTTACAAAATCATGCATGTTTATTATTGATACCGCTTTGTTTAGCAACGCTGCCGCAATGATAAAACGATATCACCAGATCAAAGCCGAAGGAGGCAAGCAGATCCAGTGGGGATACGAACTAACATCCCCCTTACAAGACTCATGATTTTTCTTTGGATGAAGGCACAAGGATTGAACTCTATCTTACTAATCCAACTTCTTTCAACCATCTTTGTTACTAATTGCTTTCAAAATGGACCTTTCAGTCCAGTTTTAAAATAAACTCCTTTCAAACATGTGTCTTGCACTTTTACTATACTCTTAGACCACTAAGTTCTGCTCCTTTTGTGTGAGCCTTATCTTGGGACCCTTGAGCTCCCTCTGAACATGGACACATAAAAGCTGGCCTTTCCACACTACACTTACTCTATCTTGGCTATAAAACCTGGGTGTGAGTACTTCCCGGGATCCCTTGAGGTCCTTAGGGAACTCTGACACACCCATGTATGATAAAGGCTATGAAACAATCTTGGCACTTGATGTGATTTATTACATAACTCAGGGAGGAAGTCCTAATCATGTGCTGAAAGTTTGGGCCTGTTTTCGGGCTCTATATAGTGTAACTTTTATCTTTCTTTTCTGCTCATGTAATTCATTTCAGTGTTGGTCTATAATAATCTGTTGTAAACAAGTATTGGGGCTGGCTAGTGAAAATGGGAGGGTAGTTATACATGCTATCAACATCAATGGGTAGAAACCATATCTTAGGTTTACATTTCCTATGTGTGCATTAGAATCCATATGTATTATCAACCCATTAAAAGAATGTCATGCATTAGATACCATGTTTCTTAGGTTTTACTGCTTCAACATCTCATTTGGCATCACTTTACCACTTAGAAATCTTGTTTTAGGCTAATAACAGCATTAACATAAAATGTTGCTCTTGCACATTTTGAAATCATGTTGTAACTCTTTGGGAATTTAGAAATCATGCTTTAGGGATTTTGTATATTCTGCAAAGCATTTTGTAATTTTCGTATATGCACGTTACATACCATGTTTTAGGAACTCGCTCAATCATATATAGTTAAACCAATAATGCATGAAAAAGGATATAAAACAGTCTCATGTTTGATTATTTCATTTGAGTGAAATCGGTCATAATCCTGCATGTTTCTTTGCAACATTTAGAACAACATGTTTTAGGTAAAAACAACTTACAAACTGTTTCAATAATTTTTGTAACTATTGCATATTATTTTATGCATATGCAAGCCTTAGGTAATAAATTTAAATAAAAATCAGAACTGTCTTTGTTTAAACTGCCAGCATGTTAAAAAATCAGTAGGCAAGCCTGATTCAGACTTCTTTTCTAAGTCATGTAATAAATCTGGTTATGCTGTTATGTATTAAAATCACTTAGATACCATGCTTAAGGATTCTGAGCTAAAATGTGGACCTTATATGTGTATGAGTCGTGCTGTCTATGTGCATTACTTGTGGAGGTATATCTGAGCCTTCTATCTGTTTTTTGTGTTCCCCATCTAAATGCAATCTTATGTGTTCTTATTTGTCGCCTAGTATTTTGCCTTAAACCTGAGGGTCTGCCTAGAACCTCCATCATAGGATAGAAGTCCTAAAATTCCTCCGGAGCTGATAGGAAGGGATGGGTAACAGCATGCAATAGGGGTCGAGACCAACGTTCGCTTTAATTACCTTCACGGGGCGGGAAAGGGTAGATATGGATATGATAACCGGTGCGTTAATACCACGTGTAACTCCTATTTGAGGAGTGTCATACCGGGTATTGCATTGATTTGATCCATATTATAAACAATACTAGGACACCTCTCTTTCATTTACAAATGTGCTTAGATTGTAATTCTTTTCAAAATCTTGCTTTTTCATTAATTGTTCTTTGCAAACACCAGTGTATTTAAACTCAAATCCCCTACTAATTGAGTCATACTTGTTTATTTACTAACTGTACAAATTCACAAAAACTGTTTGACCGGGAACCACACTAGTGAATCTTGAGGGGTGCCTAACACCTTCCCCTTAGGATAATTTCAAGCCCGTACCTTATCTCTAGTTACCAGACATAGTTAATGAACCCTATAGGTGCCCTAACGCACCTTATATCATTAGATGATGACTCTTCAAAAAATACAAACTCCCTTTCCCAAAAGGAAAGATTTGTCCCATATGTCATAAACCCGATTCCGCGAGGAAAAAGGGGGTCGCGACATCCAACTCCACCTGGTCCACAAACTTCATAGGCCATGGTTGCTGCTCCAGTTTCCACTCTATTTGCAAAGCCAGCCAAGGGTGGGGGTAAGTCAGATAGAGGTCACCCTAGAGGGGGATGCATAGCTAGATTCTATACTCTTCCGGGTAGGATGGAGGTAGTCGCATCAAACACAGTCATCACAAGTATGGTTTCGATTAGTCTTAGGGATGCATAAGTCTTATTTGATCCGGGATCCGCATATTCATTTGTGCCATCTTATTTTGCTCCGTATTTGGATATATCTCGTGATGCTTTGAGTTCTCTCGTGTATGTGTCCATGCCTATGGGAGATTGTATTGTTGTGGACCATGTGTATCGGTCATGTTTAGTTGATATTGGAGGTTTTGAGACCAGAGTTGATCTATGTGGTAGACTTTGATTTGATCTTGGGCATGGACGGGTTATCACCCTATCACACTATTCTGGATTGTCACTCCAAGATTGTAACACTAGCTATGCCAGGTTTTCCACAGTTAGAGTGAAGGGGGGCATTGGATTATATTCCTAGCAGGGTTGTGTCCTTTCGAAAGGCTCATCAAATGGTTGAGAAGGGGTGAGATGCATATTTAGCCTTAGAGGTGTCAGTGATGATACTCTTACCATTGAGTCAGTTCCGATAGTGAGGGACTTCCTAGATGTATTTCCAGCAAATCTTTTGGGCATACCGCCTGATAGAGATATTAATTTTGATATTGACTTATTGATGGACACTCAGCCCATTTCCATCCTATCATATCGTATGGCACCAGTAGAGTTGAAGGAGTTAAAGGAGTAACTGCAAGAGTTACTTGATAAGGGTTATATCTAGCCTAGTGTGTCACCTTAGGGTGCTCCGGTTCTATTCGTGAAGAAGATGGATGGTTTTATGCGGATGTGTATTGATTAAAGGCAGTTTAACAAGGTTACAGTGATGAACATGTACACATTACCATGCATTAATGACTTATTTGACCAATTTCAGGGTGCTAGAGTGTTCTCAAAGATTTTTTTGATGTCAGGGTATCATCAGCTAAAGATTCGAGATCCGAATATTCTGAAAACTGCTTTCAGGACTTGGTATGGTCAATACGAGTTTCTTGTGATGCAATTTGGGTTGACCAACACCTCAACAACATTTATGCACCTGATAAACACTGTATCCTAGCAATATCTTGATTCTTTCTTCATTGTGTTTATTGAAGACATCTTGGTGTATTCTCGTAGTCGGGAGGTTCATAAGCAGCATTTAAGGATTATAGTCCAGACCTTGAGAGGGAAGACGTTATATGGAAAATTCTCAAAGAGTGAATTCTGGCTTGATTCGGTAGAATTTTTGGGTCATGCGATGTCGAGTAAGGGGATCAAGTTAAATATGAAGAAGATTGAAGCATTTCATAGTTGGCCCAACCATCTTCAGTTATTGAGATTTGGAGTTTTCTTGGTTTGGCGAGATATTATCGTCGTTTAGTAGAAGGTTTCTCATCTATTTCTACACCTATGAATAGATTAACCTAGAAGGGTGCTTCTTTCAGATGGTCCGAGCTGTGTGAGGCGAGCTTTTGAAAGATCAAGACTACGTTGACTACAACCCCAGTATTGGTGTTACCTTCAGGTTCAGGGTCTTACACCATGTATTGTGACACATCATGTATTGGGCTTCGCATGGTGTTGATGCAAGATGGTAAGGTGATTGTTTACACGTTTCGGCAGCTGAAGGTTCATTCAAAGAATTATCATGTGCACGACATGGAATTGGTAGCTATTGTTCATGCATTAAGGATTTGGAGGCACTACTTGTACGATTTTCATCTGAGGTATATACTAACCACTGGAGTTTCCAGCATCTTTTCAAGCATAAAGATCTTAACTTGCGGTAGGGAAGATGGTTAGAGTTGGTTAAAGACTATGATATCATTATCCTATAACATCCCGAGTAGGCCAATATAGTAGCCGATGATTTAAGTCGAATGGAGGAGAGTATGGGCAGTAAATAGATGTTCAAGCCTTGGCCAGTCAGTTTGTTAGATTGGATGTTTCGTAGCCCAACCTAGTTCTTGCTTTCGTAGTTTCTCTGTCTTCCTTATATTAGCGTAACAGAGAGTGTTAGTATGACTAACCCCAGTTGTTTGTCCTTAGGGGCACAATGCAGCACGGCAATGCCAAGGAGGTTTCTATTGGAGAGGATGGGGTGTTGAGGATGCATGGCTGGTTATGTATGCCCAATGTAGATGGGTTGTGTGAGTTGATCCTTGAGAAGTCCCACAATTTGTGGTACTCCATTCATCCGGGTGCCATTATGATGTATCAGGATTTGAGGCAACACTAGTTGTGGAGGAAAATGAATAAAGATATAGTAGAGTATGTGGCTCGGTGCCTAAACTATCAGCAAGTAAAGTATGAGCATCAAAGGCCGGGCAATTTGCTTCAGAGACATGAGATTCTCGAGTGGAAGTGGGGGTGTGTTACCATGGATTTTGTTGTTGGGCTCTGACAGACTTTGAAGACATTTGATGATGTATGGGTAATTATGGACAGGTTGACCTAGTCAGCTTATTTCATTCCAATGGTTACCACCTATTCTTTTGAGCTGCTAGCTTAGATCTATATCCGTGAGATTGTTTGTCCCCACCGTGTGCCGGTATCCATTATCTCTGGTTGAGGCACATAGTTCACATCGCATTACTTGAGAGTTGTGCAACATGAGTTAGGCACACAGGTTGAGTTGAGTAGAACATTCCACCACCAGACGGACGGGCAATCCGAGCGCACTATTAAGATATTAGAGGATATGCTTCTTGCCTATGTTATGTATTTTGGGGTTTTATTGGATCAGTTCTTGCCGCTTGGAGAGTTCGCCTACAACAACATCTACCAATCGAGTATTCAGATGGTTCCTAATGAGGCCTTGTATGGGAGACGGTACCGTTCTCTAGTTGGTTGGTTGGATCCGGGAGAGGCTAAGTTGTTGGGAAAGGAATTGGTTCTAGACGCCTTTGAGAAAGTCAAATTAATTCAAAATTTGTTTCGTACATCACAGTATAGGCAGAAGAGTAATGCTGGTCGGAAGGTTCATGAAGTGCTATTTATGGTAGGAGAGATAATTTTGCTCCGGGTGTCACCCATGAAGGGTGTGATGAGGTTCGGGAAGAAGGGTAAGTGGAGCCTAGGTACATCAGCCCTTTTGAGATCATTGTGAACTTGGTGAGGTGGTCTACAAGCTTGCATTGCCACCCAGCATATCAATAATTCATCCGGTGTGCCATGTTTTCATGCTCCAAAAGTATTATAGTGATCTGTCTCATGTTTTAGGCTTCAGCTCAGTCCAATGGGATAAAGATTTGACTTATGTTAAGGAACTAGTGGCTATCTTTGACAAACAGGTTTGGTAGTTAAGATCAAAGAGCATTGCTTCAGTGAAGGTTCAATGAAGGGGTCATCTGATTGAGGAGGCGACCTGGGAGATCGAGCACGACATGCAGAGTTGTTTTCCTCACCTTTTTGTCACATTAGGTATTTCTCTATGCACGTTCGAGGACGAACATTGTTTTAAGAGGGGGAGATTGTAATGATCGGACCGGTCATTTTATGTATTTGTGCCCCGTTTCACCTTTTTATGCTTCACACAGGTGTAATGTTTGTGTTATGACTTGCAGAGTAACTTAGTTTTGTCTCGGAAAGGTTTCGGGGGTATTTAGACCCTTTGGATCTTAGCTTAGAAACCTACGTTAGAAATATTGACCAAACTTTGACTTTTGTACCATGAAATGGTGTTTTGATGGCTCTGATAGCTTCGTATCATGATTTTGGATTTAGACGTATGCTTGGAATCGAATTCGGAGGTCCATAGGTTGATTTATGTTATTTTGCTGAAAATTGGCAATTTGAGGCATAGAAGTTTGACCGTATGTTGAATTTTGGAAATCGGGTTTGGAATTTGATTTTGGAACTTGGAAGAGGTCCATTATGCTATTTAGAAATTGTATGCAAAATTTTGTATTTTTTTGGAGTTGATTTGATAGGATTCGGACGCTTAGTTGCAATTCTAGAAATTCTTGAACATTACTATGAAATTCATGCATTTTGGTGTCCGATTCATAGTTCTAGATGTTATTTCTGTGTTTTGATTGCGCGAGCGAGCAAGTTCATTTATTTTTTAGACTTGTGTGGATGTTTGATTTGGAGCCCGAAAGGCTTGGATGAGTTTGGATGTATCACAAAATAATTTGTACTGAAAATGGAATTGCTGGTGTAATGGTGCTCTCTTGTCGCAATTGTGAGCACCAACCTCACAATTGCGAAGTGGACATGGGGTGGTTAGATGTTGCAATTTAGACTTCCACCTTCGCATTTTCAAAGTCAGAAGGCCTGGGTCGGGGCCGCATTTGCGACCACTTGGTCGCTTTTGCGATGGTAGCCAGCTTCACAATTGCGACTTCTGTTGAGGTCGTCAGGGCTCGCAAATGGGATCCCTGATTTGCAATTGTGAGCGATAGAAAATGCAAACCTTGTGTCACAAATGGGACATCTGCAACTGGACATAAGGGTTGGAAAAAACGGGATTAGGCTCATTTCTCACATTTTAGAACCCTAAACTCGGTAGTAGGCGATTTGGAGCGGCGATTTTCATTTACAAATATTGGATTAGTGATTCTCATCAATTTCCAACTATATTTCTTGATTATAATTTAGATTTAACATAAATTTATGTGAATCAAGAGAAAAATTGGGAAATTTTGTCAAGTTTTTGAAAAATGTATAATTGAATTTTGAGACTTGATTTGGACTCGGATTTGAAAACAAAATACATATATAGACTCATGGGGTTATAGGAGTCGGAATCTACCCCTGGACCCGGGTTTTGACCGGGCGAGCACGGGGTTGACTTTTTAAAATTTTTGTAAAGATCAAAGCTTTATCTATTGTATTTGCTTTCCCTTGTATTGTTTGATGAAATTAAGTCACTTTTAGTTAGACATGAACCATTTGGAGGCGAATTTTAGGGAAAAAGGTATTTTCGATGGTTGAGTTGTCCTAGTTGAGGTAAGTATCTTGCCTAACTTTTTGTGGAGGAACTACCCCTTAGGATTTGGTTTGATTATGCTATTTGTGTTATGTGAATGCCGGGTATGGAAGGTGACAAGTGGGTATATGAGTTATATGTGAAAATTGACCGGTTTAGGTTATTTAGACTCTTTTCATGCCTTTGGTTGAATTGTCGTAATATGATATATCCCTCATTGTTAATCTACTCTTGCATGTGTTAATATATCATTACATTCTTTAATTAACATTGTTTAACACCTATCCTACCTCTTACTTGTTATTTTGCTCTTATATGCTTTCGTTGAAGTTATTGACTTCCTTATTGTTTTGTTAGCTCTTTAATTGTTGAATCTCTTTTAATTGAAGTTGTCATTTGGTGGAATATCATCTTATTGAGTTATTGGTGTTGAAGTTGTAATAGCTGTTATCACATTGAGCTGAAGTTGTCACTTGGTAAGATACTTTTCCTTGTTGAGCATTCTCACTCATTATGTTATTGTTGAAATTCTTGTACATATTGTGGTTGAGCCATACTGATTCTCGATTTTCTCTTTGACTCCTTTCTAACTCTCTGACTCCTTCTTCAACGGTCACTTACGCCGGTGACCTAGCCTAACGCCGGTGACCATCGGCTCCAATAGATAAGTCACTCTACTTCTCTCTCCTCTCTCTCCCCGACCCCCCCCCCTATTTTTCATCTTTTCCATTCCCTTCCCTTTTCTGCTCCTTTTTCTCGTTACTGGTATAGCTCTCGAAATCTTAATTCCTTCTCTGCTTTCCATCGGCGAAGGTAAGGATCATACCCACAAATATTTTTGCTTCATTGTGAACATTGAGTTTCTAATATCTAATAAACCCATTTCCAGATTTAATCTCTTTGGTGCTTTTATTTTGGTATTCGGTTTCTCTCTCATAAACAAAGCAATTTTCCTTTTCAGTGCAACAACTTCAATAAGAAGTGTATATCCATACACAAAGCAATTTTACTAATTTTGCAATATTTGTTTGTCCATTAACTAACACTTTCAAATTCGCTTCCTTTTTTCTTTGCGTTTCGTTGCAACGGCTGGGCATCACCAATGGTAGCGGTGATAGCCCCTTATTTGTTTGGCTCCGTGGTATTTTATGTGCATTTCAGGTTAGGAACGATGACTTTTGGTGGCGAGCGAGGCGTGCACGTGCAAATAGTGAAGAACAACCCGAAGGTCAGCAAGGAATGACAAGAGTTTGACGTGAAAGAGCTAGGTGACCACAACACCATCGGGTATACCAAGAAATTCCTAGGTTCTCACGGGAGTTGGTACCTCCTGTGTTCTTGTTTCCCTATATTATGTTAGTTAAATTGTTGTCGGTTATAGTTCTTATTAGTTTATTCAGCGTATTAGTGGGCCTGTAGTGTAAACTCGTCTTCTTCTGGTTTGGTCTGTTGTGTGTGTTAGTGATTCCCCTTAGTAAGTCGGAGGTATAATGGCTATGGTCTGGAATGGTCGAGTGAATTAATGTCCTCGGGAGGAGCGGGGGGTGAATCGGGAGGCANGGTACATTGATAGGTAAGTCTATAGAGTTGGCGAAGATCCTCCGGAAAAGTAGGGTCAATATAGCCTGTGTCCAGGAGACAAGGTGGATAGGGTCGAGTGCGAGGGATGCAGACAGGTATAAACTTTGGAACTCAGGAACCTAGAAAGGTAAGAATGGAGTGGGTATTTTGGTGGATAGGGAACTTAGAGAGTCTGCGGTTGAGGTTAGACAAGTGAATGATAGACTGATGATTATTAAGTTGGTGGTTAGACAGTGCACCCTAAACGTCGTTAGCGCATATGCGCCTCATGCGGGCCTAGATGAGGAGGTTAAACAGTGATTTTGGGAGGGGTTAGATGCGATTATGCGTTAAGTACCACCCGCTGAGAAGTTATTAATAGGAGGGGATTTCAATGGTCATATTGGGGAGACCGCAGGTGGGTATGACAAAGTGCATGGAGGCTTCGATTTTGGGGAGAGGAATGAAGGAGGAACCTCGTTAATGGACTTTGCTAAGGCTTTTGGGTTGGTAATTGCAAACTCTAGCTTCCCGAAGAGGGAGGAGCATTTGGTTACTTTTCAAATTGCGGTGGCGAAGACTCCGATTGACTATCTCCTCCTTAGGAGGTGTGGCAGAGGGTTGTGCAAGGATTGCAAGGTGATTCCATGTGAAATACTCCTGACGTGACATAGGCTCTTACTGATGAACATTGGTTACGGTGAAGAGGAGGAAAATGTCTTCTCGAGGAAGACCAAGAATCAGGCGGGGAGCCTTAACTAAGGATAAAGCCTAAGAGTTGGATGGGCAGTTGTTGGCTATGGGAGCTTGGGGGAGTAGTGAAGAAGCGAGCACTATGTGGTCAACGACAATAGACTGTATAAGGGAGGCTGCGAAAGAGGTGTTAGTGATCTCGACGGGCATTTCTGGCAGGCACAAAGGAGACTGGTAGTGGAATGAAGTGGTTCAAGGTAAAGTGGAAGCGAAGAAGAAGTCATACCAGACGTTAGTGGGGAGCATAGGTGAGGAGGATAGGCGAGTGTGCATGGAGAGGTATAAGGTAGCTAGGAAGGAAGCGAAGCTGACAGTTATGGAGGCTAAGACTACTGCTTATGGTCATATGTATGACGAACTAGGGGAAAAATGCGGGGATAAGAAGTTATTTAGGCTGGAAAAGCTGAGAAAGAGGAAAGCTCGAGATTTAGATCAAGTGAGATGCATCAAGGACGACAACAGAAATGTATTGGTGGAAGATTCCCAGATAAAGAGGAGATGGCAGACCTACTTTCAAAAACTTCTTAATGAAGTAGGGGATCGGGGTATTGTGCTAGGTGAATTGGAGCATTCCGAGAGTCATAGTGACTCTGGGTACTGCAAGCGCATCAAGGTTGAGGAGGTTGTGGGAGCTATGAGTAAGATGTGTAGAGGTAGAGCGACCGGGCCTGATGAGATTCCAATAGAATTTTGGAAGTTTGTGGGGAAAACGGGTTTGGAGTGGCTGACTAGGTTGTTGAATGTTATTTTTCACTCGAAGAGAATGCCGAATGAGTCGAGGTGGAGCACGATAGTCCCATTGTATAAGAACAAGGGTGATATCAGTTGTAACAACTAGAGGGGTATCAAATTACTGAGTCATACTATGAAAGTGTGGGAGAGGGTGGTTGAAGCAAGGCTGAGGATGACGGTGTCTGATTTCGACAACTAGTTTGGGTTCATGCCGGGTCGTTCTACTACTGAAGCTATACACCTTGTTAGGAGGTTGGTGGAGCAGTACAGAGATAGGAATAAAGACCTGCACATGGTGTTTGTTGACCTGGAGAAAGTGTATGACAAGGTTTCTAGAAAAGTTATCTAGAGAAGCTTGGAGGCAAAAGGCGTGTCGATCCCCTAAATTATGGTGATTAATTACATGTAAGATGGGGAAAAGACTCGGGTTAGGACAGTAGGAGGCGAGTCTAAGGATTTTCCGGTTGCCATGGGTTACACCAAGGTTCTGCGCTTAGTCCGTTCTTATTCACCCTGGTGATGGACGCATTAACACACAACATTCAAGGGGATGTGCCATGGTGCATGATGTACGCCGATGACATAGTTCTGATTGATGAGTCGCGAGTCGGTGTTAATGAGAGGCTAGAGGTTTAGACATGCTCTGGAATCTAAGGGTTTTAAGCTTAGCAGGACGAAGATAGAATACCTGGAGTGTAAGTTTAGCGCTGAGCAGGGGGAAATGGGCGTGGATGTGAGGCTTGAATCACAAGTCATCCCGAGTACAGGCAGCTTCAAGTACCTTGGGTCGGTTATCTAGGGGGGGAGGGGAGATCGGCGAGGATTTCACACATCGCATTGGGGTAGGATGGATAAAGTGGAGGTTAGCATCTGAAGTATTGTGCGACAAGAAAGTGCCACTGATACTCAAAGGTAAGTTTTATAAAGTGCTGGTTAGACCAGCTATGATGTATGGGGTGGAGTGTTGGCCTTTTAAGAAGTCACATATCCAGAAGATTAAGGTAGAAGAAATGAGGATGTTGCGGTGGATGTGCGGGCATCTAGGATTGATAAGATTAGGAATGATGATATTCTGGAGAAGGTGTGTGTGGCTCCCATTGATGACAAGATGCGGGAAGCGAGACTCAGATGGTTCGGGCATGTTCAGAGGAGAAGCTTAGATGCTCCGGTAAGGAGGTGCAAACGGCTTGTTGTAGAAGGCACGAGAAGAGGTAGAGGGCGGACTAAGAAGTATTGGGGGGAGGTGATCAGGCAGGATATGGCGAGGCTTCAGAATACCGAGGACATGACACTTGATAGGAACATGTGGAGGTCGAATATTAAGGTTGTAGGTTAGGAAGTAGTTGAGTCTTGCCTTATGTCATAACTTTGTGGGATTAGTTTGGTAGGGATACTAGTTCACTTCTACTTTGTATCTTTCTTCTGGATTATATGTTAGTTCCTATTTTATATATTTTCCCTGTTTTACCTATTTTTCTTATTATTTCTGTGATGTTACTAATTTTGTATCCTTTTGCCTTTTTGTCCTCTTGAGCCGAGGGTCTTTCGGAAACAGCCTTTCTATTCCTTCGGGGTAGGGGTAAGGTCTGCATACATACTACCCTCCCCAGATCCCACTAATGGGATTTCACTAGGTTGTTGTTGTTGATTGTGGTTAAGCCATGGGCTATTTGTTGTAAAAACATTGATATTGTTGACTTTGTGGCAAGTTGTGGCATATGGAAACTTGTGGTGCGAATTGTGATTGTGTTGTGATATTGATACGCATGAGGTGGTATAAGGCTAGGGGTTGATACGCATGCGGTAAGATAAGGTGGTCTTGACACGGTTGTTGCTAGTAGTGGGACTACTTGAAGTCATGCAGTGTGATATGGTGGGCTAAAATGTATGTAGCTATTTCAGAAAAATAATTTTCAAAACTAAATGCAAGGCTCACGCGGTGATATAAGGGAAGGTTGTGATTGAAATTGTGAAATGTGAATACGAGGCGGTACCTCGGTTGTGATTGTTGTTGTGCATTTAATATTGAAGAGATTTATTAGTTGAACGGTTCTTTTTACATTTATTCCTGTCTTACTGGTTTTGTCTGTATTTGATAATGTGTGGCTTCCATTTGTGTTTAGTCATGACGCCTTTTTGCTTAAAAATTCTATCATTAGCTTACATTACTAAACTACTTAGTTATAGTTCATAACTGCGGTTTCCATTATTTCCCATTGTTATATTTTTGTTATGTTTATCTTGTCCTAGTAGGTGTCTTGATTTGGCCTCGTCACTACTCTACTAAGGTTAGGCTTAATACTTACTGGGTACCGTTGTGACATACTCATACTACACTTATGCATATTTTTGTACAGATCCAGGTACATCTGTCCGTGTTGGACGCTAGAGATAATTGGATAGCTGCTTTTAGAAGACTTCAAGGTATACCTTCCCGATGTCCGCAGGCCTCAGAATCACCTTTTGTTATCTTCTCATTACTCTCATTTCCTTTATCAGACAGTGTTGTAGTAGATGTTTTAGAATATTCTATAGGGCTTATGATTTAGTTCCACCAGATTTTGGGAGTTATTTGTCAGCTGCACTGTTGAGATTTATTATGATATTTTAATGGTTTAAATTTAAGGTTTTATTTTTATTTCCACTATTTCTCTATACATGTTACGCTTACGTAGTCTTAGAGACTAGATGCCATCACGACATCCTAAAGAGGAAAACTGGGGTCGTGACAACTATTTTTTTCCAGTTCAAACAGTATTGTATTATAAAGTATTAGCGCATTTTCTATAGAGCTTATGACTCAGTGTCACCGGGTTTTGGGAACATCGTAACTGTTGTTCAGTATTGAGGATGTTATGAGACATATCAACTTTATATAATATTTTTAGTCACTATTCATATTAGATTCTCTTGTGTGATAGGCTTACCTAGTCTTATAGACTAGGTGCCATCGCGACTACCTCCGAAGGCATTTTGGGTTCGTGACAAAACCCCAAAGATAGAATTTAGATTTTTAATGGGAAAGCATTTTTTGTTGACTTAGGTTCCAAATTGAGGAAAGCTGGACATTCTATTGGCATATTTGAGCATTTACGTCAAACATTACTAACTTATCATAATTAATTAATTTAATAAGTTGAAAATATATATATTCTTTGCCATGGAGAAGAGAGAGAAATTTATTTGCAAACACATTTAATACATCTACTAGTTAATTTGATTCTTGAGAATTGAGGTTTTGATGATTACCAAAGTGTGTCCAGTGAACATGTGCTAAGAACCAGGTCTTCAAGGTAGCTGCTGAATGTGTGCTAAGAGCCAGGTCTTAAAGGTAGCTGCTGAAGGTTCTTACAAGGTAGTAACTATTACATAAAGTAACAATAGTGTGAGATTGCTGGAAAGGACTTTTGATGCGATAAGGTTTATTACCCAAGAAAATTTTCTTGCATAAGTGAGAGACAAGAGACGCAAGATTCGTGGAGTCCTTGGAACATTAGGATTGAAGTCAAACAAAAAGTTGACTGTGTGTAAGACTCCCAAATATCTTAGAGTACTGGGAAGTAAAATACTTTCCCTATAGACTAAGAAGAGCATCCTTTTGCACATCAACTGAAGAACGACATACAACATTTCTAGTTCAGCACTCGAGTTGATCATCAGTCTCAGCATTCTTCCTGAGGCTGTTAGTTGATGTTTATTAGGAAATTAAGTTGTAATAAAGATGTCATTCTAAACTTGTTAGTTGGAGTAATTGTTTGAGCGTGCAAGTTAGAGAAACTTGTAATTCATTTAAGTAGTTGAAGTAGGAGAAATGTGTGGGTATTAATTTACAGGTCTTGTAATAAGTACATTTGGCTCATTTGTTCTAATTAAGTTGAAATTTAAATCCTATGTGGTAAGTCATGGAATTTGCACCCTTGAGCTGGGTGATTTTCCATGTAAAAATTGGCATTCCTATTTCTTTACTGTTTATTTCATTTAAGATTAAGGAGTAAGGCAAAGAACCAAGTTCTTTAGTAAGTTAGGAAGGCTCTCAAATTAAATATTGGTATCAGAGCAAATTCTCTCAAACATGGTTAACGCCTATAGAGATATGAGAAGCAAAATGAGTGCCCTACCCGGAATTAACGAAGGAGAGTTAACTACTAGACCAGCTCTGTTCAATGGAAAATATTATAGTTGGT